ATTGGAATCCAAAATCGGGTACTTGCAGGGTCCACCGAGAGCATCATAGTCAAGCCTCTCAGTCTCTGAAATCCACGCTAACGTGTAGTCAGAATCAAAGCTGAAAGCATTCCTGACCCGTTCCTTTATCTCGGAAAGCCATTCCCGCAGCTTATCAGCTGTCGGCTCAGCAGGTAGCACGATCGTGTTGCACTTATGATGGAACCGATCCTTATCGACAACAGTGGAAATCAGAGCCCCTATCGGGGTACATGAGGTAATCCTGCAGCTTTCACACAGCCTAGCAGGCATAGGGCAGCAAACTTCACACGCCCTCATTCCACAACCGACGCAAGGAACAAGAGGGAAGCCAGGCTCGGGGATCCTGCTACACTTAGTGCACCTGTCCCGTCCATCATCCCCCCTCAAGGCTTCAGGGAGAAGACCACCATCTCCCTGCCTACCGGCCCCATTAACGCTGTAGCCAAGGCTGAGACCTGGCCCAAGGTTACCACCACTCGCAACACTCGAGGGGTAACCTGCAGCATCGTTGGGCTGACTAACGCCAGCGCCAACCCCTTGGTGGCTAACGCCACCTCCGTAGGCAGGACCATAGAAACTGGAACCACACTGATTGTTCCCAGTTCCATGAGTATCAGCAGCACTGCCATAGAACCCAGGTGCTCCACCAGGGTAACCCCCGGTAGGAGCCCCTCCACTCGGGCCTCCAGGAGGTCCAGCGGGACCTTGGCGCCAGAATGTCCAGGACCTGGTGGTGGAAATGGAGCATGTCCGTGACCACCGCTTCCGCTCCCACCTTGACCGGGTGGTCCGCCTTGCCCACCTCCTCCCCCAGGAGGGGGAGGAGGAGGCGGTCCAGCGATATCACGTTCATGCCGAATATTGCAGCGCGCACATCGCTCGAGGCCGTCACTGCCAAAATGACTGTGATCCTCACAAACGTGGTTCCCGCAATCCGTGCAGAAATACATTGAGATCTCCTGGGCATTCTTGCGACATGCCCAACACTTCATTTTCAAGAACTGACAATTGCAACAGTCCCCGTCGTCACCCCGGCAAAGCCTACAAAACTCACAATTGCACGTAACACACGAGAATTCAGCGTCCGGGTGCCTACGGTCGTTGGGATTATCGAGGGCACAAATCTTTGGCGCACCTGGGCCACCGGTACCGGGAGCTCCTCTTGCGGCCGGTGCCGAGGCCTGTCCACGATCAGATGGAGCTCCAGGGGTCCTCCAGCTATCGCCGGGACTCTGGATATCGGCACTAGCTCTACTTCCAGGAGTCCTCCAATTATCGCCAGGACTCTGGATGTCGGCATGGGCCCTATTACCCCTACCACCTCCTGGATGACGATCTGGGTTCGGAGAGACGTTCCCGCTATCGCGGATCGGCCTATCCAGGTTCGGAGAGATGCTCCCGCTATCGCGGATCGGCCTCTCCCCCCTCGATTGCCGACTCCGGACCTCAGATCCCCTATCGGGGACGGCAGCAGGCCTCGGGCTCCTGTTCCTAAATGTCCCCCCCTCTCGCGTGCGCGGGGGCCACCCCTCGCACGCCCTGGCGGTGAATGCGACCTGTCAGGCAGTCCCCGAGCCCTCCTGCTTCTGCTGTCAGCCCTCTCCCTATCGGGATTAATGGGATGCCTGCCTGCATGAGAAGGATCGACCCTACCGGGCCCACCTGGCAAAGCGTGATCAACAAAATCAACACCTCCGCCCGGCCTCACCGGAAGGCCAGTACCCCGACCGTTACCTTCTCCGGGAGTAGGCGTTGGAGACCTGATTCTATGCCCCTGCCCCGCGAAAGCGTCGTATCCAACGTTCCGTCTCTCTCTGGGCTGTGGAGGATTTGCCTGATTGTCCTGGACACCCTGGATAATGCCAGCAGCCTCATCAACATGACCTTCGATTTCATAGAGCTGAGCCATGATTCTGTTGTTCATCCCATTAAGAGTACGCATGTTACTCTCGACAGTGCTGATTCTCCGCATAGCGCCCTCAAGCGTACTCCGGAATGAGTCAATTTCACGCCTAACGGCGGACCGCGCTTGATCACTATTCGCAGGGAGACTGCGGATCTGTCTTCTGATGTCATCAAGAACTTGATTCAGAATCCCCGAACTCGCTTCGTATTGCTCAACACGGGACTTCAAGGTTTCAAACCTTGCAAGGACATCGTCATGATCCCCATGGTGGCGTTGCACTCCACGAGATAGATCCTGGACCTTTCGATTGACTTCGTCAATTGCTTCATGCCAGTCCTGCGGGGATACAGGCCCTGATGATCTATCGATCGCCTGCGACCCCCTTCCACTTTGCAGCCTCGACATCCGATTAGCAAGAATGGTTTGCTCTTCATTAATGCCACCAATAGATTCGGAGGCCCATTTAGCAAACTTCTCGTGTTCAAGGAGAGCCTTCTCGAGCTTCAGGCTTAACTCTCTGAACTTCGCGTTCACGACGCTGCTGCTAGCCCTATCGGGCGGTTGCGCGACAGGATTCAAATTCCATTCACCTGCTGCCGTCCGCATCCCGACGGTTTTCTCTACCGAGAACATCCGTCCCTCGAGCTTGTCCAAGTCCTTAAGGATCTCATCCTCAGAAGCAGCATGGCTCCTGTGGACGGCCTCACGATTCTCTTGAATCATCTGGCGAAGCCGATCAGTCGAGGCCTCATTGTCCTTAACAGATTCATGAACCTCGTGTGAAAGCAGATTGATCCTCTGTTCCACGACTTCAGCCTGTTCGTCGATGGCTTGCCTCACAATGGCTTTGCTGTCAGGAATAACTTCCCTAGCAAACCGTTGAACTATCATTCGCATCCTACCGGCATCAGATTGAGTCGCAATCTCAGCTTCCAGGCGATCGACCTTGTCCTTCGTCTGTCGACTCTCGTCGCTCCATTCCCTTCGCATGGAACTCACCTGACCGTTCAGTAACCTGATTTGGTCAGCAAAAATATGGAACGCCTTCGCGACTGAGCCAGAAACCTCACCCCTCTCGAGCATCTCCTGGATGTGCAAATCGAACACCTCCTTTGCCCTAGCGTCACCTGACTCGCCGGAAGACTGGGATCTGAGGGCAGGAGGAGTCGATATCTCGATCCTCTCAGGAGCCCCACTAGCCCCGGCATGTCTTCTGGGGTCGCCTACAGGACAATCATCAATCCTGGGTGGCCTACTCGGGGTAGATCCCCTTCTCCGGCTATCGCCAGATCGGGGATCAATGTTGGATGCACGAGACTCGGGGGTAGAGTGAATGTGAACATCAGCAGGATCGGGCATCTCCTCATCCTGCGGAGTTGAGCCCATTGGTGAGGGGCTAGCCCTCCTCGCCTTTGACCTATCGGTCTCAATGGCGAGGGGTGACGGCCTCTTTGCAGAAACACTACGTTCCCTGGCGGTCGAGCCCCATTGAGGTGTGAACTCGTTGCTAGACCTTAGCGTTTCAAGGTCACTGGTATCTCGCCCTAACGGGCTTGCAATCGACGGACGATCTTCGATCCCGAGTGCATCGGCAAGCCGACCATCTCTGGCACCTGTCCTAACGATATCGGCAGCCCGCTCAGTGATCCTCGGCGAACCAGTAACCCGGTTCGAGTTCACGTCTCTCTGATTCAACGGACCTCCAAAGGCAATGTTGGGAAAAGGGGGAACATTCGGGGTATCACCAATCGCTGGGGGACCTATCGGTCCCTCACGGTCATGGATGGCCTCCAATCCCCGAAGAACTTCCCGACTATCCCTGGCCCTCTCTCTCTCGCTTCGGGCGTCCCTGTCAACACGAAGGTCCCTCCTCATCCGCAAAATTGTAATCTTCGCCATCATAAGACTCAGATTTGGCAGTATTAGGGTTGGGCCTACCGGCATCAGATCCCTGCTTTGAGCTACTGCCCCAACCTGCGGTTGATTTCAACAGAGCATCGTATCCGAAGTCTGAGAATTTCCGCTCCTCGTGCTCATCAAACTGACCTGGATTTTGAGAACCAGTGGATCGACCCGAGATATCTCTCGGAGCCAAAACCATAGTCCCTGGTCCTTGCGGCCTGTCCTCAAACTCATCCGAGACCTGCGATTCACCTGGAACAAGAGATCTCGGGGGTCGGGTCGGCATAGCCTCCGGGTCGTCCGAATGGGGGCGGGCCATGTTCATCGCCATGCTGATGAAGTCGAACTGTCCGCGCCTGTGACCTGATTCAGAGCCGCTCCTACCGGAGCGAACCCTCCGAGTCTGCTCATCATCGGTGGCCTGACGGAAAATGCGGTCGTCCCCATCGTCGGTGTACCTGCCACGGCTCCTGGGTGTGTCCCTACCGGGATCCTCACCCCTGCGGTCCTGACCTGTCGAACCTGCTTCGAAATCCTCGTAGTCATAGTCCGGTAGGTCCTCACCTGAGCGGAGGCCCCCTAGGATGGCCTCCTCATCCACGACGCTCCTTCGAGATCGTGGGGTCGACATAGAGCTTGTAGTTGATGGTCTCAAGCGCGTAGGAAAGTCCTACGGCTGATAACCTGTGATTCGGGCACGAGCCTGTGCCCAGGCAATGGGTAAGTTGGGGTAAACAAGCCACAAAAGAAAGGTTCCCCAAAAGCAAACCAATCCCCGGTCCCAAAGATCAGGGTTTCCCACACACCAGAGAACAACAACCAAAAGGAAACAAACCAAACAAGAAAAGGGTTAACCCGCAACCTTGGTCGACAACAGGCCGCACGACTGGTCCCTACCAACCTGGCGGCGGCCCGAGGTCTCTTTCTCCCCCGAGATGCCGTCGGTCGACGCAGGGGTTCGGCGACGCCCATTCGAGGCGAGACGGAACCCAAAACTTGAGCCAAAACACCACAGGTCGGTCACTAACGCGACGTCCCTGATGATGATATTAACCATGGCTAATCACACAAACAAATGACTCATTCCATGTTCATGTCTGTTTGGAAGTTGAAACATTAAGCGCTTTTTGTAGCGCCCAACGGTCCGGACCAGACATCCATGGCTCCACACAGCTTCGTGCCCACCGGGTACAGGGCATCCACCTGGGAGTTGCCCAAGCCCAAGCCCAAGCCCCGCCAAACGGTTCCAACGAAGGACTTAGATCATCGCCAGCTCGATTTACCACCAGGTGAGCTCGCAATATAACAGGCAAATGATTTCCTTGGCCACAGAAAGGGGGGTGGTGTGCCAACTTCATTTGTGATGCTTTCCTGTTCCTTTCATTGTAGTAGGGGTGAGGGTGCAATTGTGGAGTCCTCACAAGAGGGGTGCAGCAACACGTGGTCAATGTTCAACCCTACGCCCCAACCCTAAAAACTATCCGTGTTTGAAGAGGAAGAGCCCCCTCCTTTGGGGGTGTCCATCTGGATAGAGTTTCGGATTTTTGGAACATAAGCACATACACTGGAAGCACGCCTAGCGTGATGCCTCCAAAGGTGTGCAAACACGTGGAAGGGTGCCACCACAGGCCTCCAATGTGCCTACACAAGCGCGTACGCGCACGTTTTCGTGAGCGACTCTTTGGACTGCATGTGGCAAACAGGATCTTGTTGGAACGGCCTACGTGGGAGAGCTACGCGATCCAAACCCCGCCCTCTTAACCTCTGCCCATCTGACATGCAAGGATATAAACCTTTCATTAAAACATGTGGAATCTGACTAAACCTTGACCGTTGGGCCGTGAAAATCGAATTCATTCATCACCTAAGGCTAGCGGGTCCTCTGGAAAATGCCAACATTTTTGTGAAAGATGGTGCTTGGGGGACTTGAACATAACGCTCATCCATCCACTCTGGCTTTCCTTGGGGCTTTACTTTATGTTGGAGTCAATCCACACAGACCGCTTGGGTCCCTTCCCCAGCCACGCCTTCACGTCCTCGCCCGGCTTTCCGCCCTTGGGGAAGAAGAGCTTGAACTTTCCGTCCAGCTGCGCCTGGCGCCTCGTTGAGCCTGGCCGGTGCAAACAGACATTTTTTCAGACCCTGGAGGCCTGGGTGAGTGACTGAGTGATTCGGATCCCGCCTGAGCGGATTGACAGCAAGCACCCCTCCGGCAGGCCCTCGCTCTGTTCCAGTGTCACCTGGCGGAAAAATACGCCTTCTCTGACCAGAATCATAAGCTACATGATTCGATTCATGTGGTGTGTGAAGTGTACGGCAGTTACGGGTTTTCTTTCAAGGTTTGGCAGCCTGGTTTTAGCAACCAGGTCTCTCAAATAATGTCAACCTAAGTTTAATACATGGGGGCGAATTAATAAAATTGTCGGCCACCTGACCCGCTTTCACCCAGTACTAAATTAAGAAGGGGCTGATTCAATAGTTAATTGCAGACGTACAACACCGCCCCCCCAAGTCGACCCTCCAAAGCACAACATCAATACACCACCCAAAAAAACTCACATTCACAAAATTCCCCGAAACGCGGGGGCGAGCCAAACATTTTTTGTATCAGGGAACAAACCAGTCCAAAATGATTCAAAAGTAAGCAGCTAGCGTGCAGAAGTTGATGGCACAGAGACGCATGCAACAAGTGTGCAGCGCACCAGGCAAGGCAACTATATAACTGGAACCTTCAAAGGCTCCCCGGCAGACCTCAGATTTCCAAAAAACATACATGCCCGGAAAGTGCGGCTTTTAAATGAAGTCTCTTTACAAAAGTGATGTCCCTGGACTCCAACTACTACTAGTACTTGAAGCAGTACTACGAGTACTCGTTGTACTAGAAGTAGTACTACAAGTACTAGATGCAGTACCACACGTACTCTAACAGTAGTACTACACATGCTACAAGTACTACAAGTACTTCTACAAGTACTACAAGTACTAGAAGCAGTACTACTACAGCCACTACTACAAGTACCACAAATACAGAAAGCAGCACAAGTACTGCTTCAAGTACTGCTACAAGTACCACTACAAGTACTAGAGCAGTACTACCAGGACTACTATTTGTACTACAGATACTACCCCAAGTACTACAAGCACTAGAAGTAATACTACAAGTATGATTGTTGTTTATTGCGGTACTTTGCCCGGGAGAAAAAAAAGGAGGGGGGGGGAACCCCGTTTACTAATATGAAGTCGACAGTGGCTAACATGTTAGAACAAGGGGCTCGAACATCGGTCTCGAACTGGAAATATGCTTGGATTCCAAAGCCATCGTTCTTCAACGTGTGAATAGTTTCGTCTGGTTCCGCTAAGGTTGGTAGCAGTTAGCATAAACAAGTTTGTCAGTTTCAGGGGATCGTGGGTTCAACAAACGAGTTGACGGCTCTTCGCTACTGAGTGGGGACCTGCTCACCACTCTCTAGGATTTGGAAAGGATTCTTCCAGCAGAAAACGTGAAAACCAATTGGAAGCGCAGTTGTCAGTTCGGAACTCATTGGCTCATTCTTGCCCCCCCCCCATTTCCAGGTAAAGTTGGCTTTGGTTTGGCAGAAGAGTCTTGTGCCTCTTCTGCAGCCTGCTCATAGTCTGTCGACCCCCGTGCCGCGCCCCCAAACAATGTGGCCAACCCTCTTGTGACCCCCAAAGAGGGGCCAGCCCCGCTCCATGCCCCCAACTCAACTCACTCCGCCTCCATGGCGAACCTGGCGACGTGCACCTGGCGGGGAGCTCTTGGGCACGCAGCTGGGTGCGAACCTAGTCCAAGCCAGGTTCCAAAAAAGGTCATTAAGGTCATAGAATGTCTCATTGCAACACCCCCTGAAATATCAGGACCTGACGCGCTTGTCTAAGAAAGCCATGATGTGCTTAGCTCCTGCCAGAGGTAGGGGTTACATGGTGAGCCTTCGGGGTGAGGACGCTGTACACGTGGCCTTCGGTCGAACCCTCTGTGCGTTGGTCCCGAAAGCCGCCAGTGACAAGAAGTCCCAAAAGCGGCTGATCCTGGCAGAGGTCTCGCCGATCAAAGCTGCTGGCAGCACTGCTCAAGTCGACCACAGACGAGCATCTGGCAAGCCAAAGCTGGAAGCGGCGGCATACACAAACAGCGAATTGACTCAACCCCGGCTCTCATTCAGTGGAGCAAGTGATAAAGCGGCATCTACATGTCTTTTTTTTTGGGGGGCACATCCCGAACATTGAACTGGCTGAAAAGTGATGTTTGAACCACCGACGCCTGACCCCCGACTGGGAAAGGTGTGGGTGCCCTGCCTCCAAAAAAATGTTTCCAGTCTAGCACCATGACTGAACCAAGCGATCCTTCTGCGAGCCTGGTGAAGTGGGGGTGGTCGCAATGGGTCCCTGGCGCTCGTTTTTGTTTTGGTACCCCCTCTTACTTGATGGTTTTCAAGGGAGGGCCAAAAGGGAAACCACAATCCATTTGGGGAGGGGGGGGCCATAAAAAAGACAAGTTATCCAGGCAGCCAGGCAGAGTTCCTCAAGCGATTCCTCCCGAAAGTGGCTGCAGAACATGGAATGAACCTGGGTTGTAGGGGTTAAGGTGGTGGGTACAGTAGGTTTAGGGTTGGAATACGCTTGGAGGGAGGATGGTGGTTTTGCGATAGTTGGGATTGGGGCCCGGGTGTGCTTGGGTTTGGGGAACCGCGGGGTTGGAGGACCACAAGGCACAGCAAAGGATCTCCCCACACTGTGAATATGCTTCGGTCAGGATCTCACAGGGACAGTTGGATCCATGATGGATCCATGGACATCCGTTCGGACATTGCAGTTTCCACACGACATGCCTCCGCCACGGCTGGTGTGTTTGAACACTCGGCACTGGGTGCTATGCATCCGACAAGGCCAGCGAATAGAGGCGCTGAGCTGTGTGCATTGCCCTTTGCTCAAAACTAGGCGTTGGTGCATGGGGATCATTTCTGGCAACTGCCAGAGTTGGCATGTGACGTTTGGTCAAAAAAAACAGTAGTCTACAGTTTGGGTGTTTTTCTCACAAGTTTTGACATCACCACTCAGGTGGTTTGGCGGGCACCTGCAGAGCACGGAGCAGTGAGATCCGTTGGCCCATGAGTGGCTAGCGCACTCACTTGTAATTGGCCCAACTTGATGCCAGCAGGGATGTTGTGAATTTCCTGCCAAACGAAGTTCCCTGGACAGTGAAACACTGCTGATAAAATGTCCCACTACGGGTGTCGAATCGGCCATCCTCTTGGTTTAAATATGGCGTGCGCCCATCAATGGCTTGCAAATCAAAGCGAAGCCAGCCCTCATCCCGCTCCGCGCCTGTTCCTCACCACCGGCAAACAGCCCTCGGCAAGCCGGCCAATCGTGCAATTGCAGCCTTGCCTCTGTGCCCCTCAATCACATCATTGTATCATGTCTAAAATCCCTCAGCCACATGAACTGTAGCACAACTGCACGGGCGCTACCCAGACGAACAGCGCACACGCCAGCAAATTGACAAGCACGCGGCGACGTGCTTAGAGACCCTCTGGTGGTCATCATTTAGGTTGGGATTTGTGTCCCCCAACCATTCCTGAGAGGTTCCACATTCAAATTACATGCCACATTTTTATCGGCGTTGCCCTTGGGATTTGGTGCACCGACTCCCTATTGGCCACCGACTCGTCCACTGGCGTTCAAACTTTAAATGCCCAAGAAACAATCAAACACGGAAGTGCCCAGAGCCCTTTTCCATAAACAGGGTCGTCACCCAAGCAGTCAAAGGGCACTTCCGCTGTTGAGGCCACTCTTAGCTGGTGTTGATTCTTCACAGGGCTGCGGGAACAAAAAAAAATAGGGATCCATAAAAAAAAATAGAACTGACATTCATGGGCCATTTGTTGAACCCTTTCTCTCATTCCGCCCTTCGCAAGTACGGGCAAGCTTTTGCGCCACCTTCCCCCGAACGGGACCCCGGCAGTCTGCAAGGAGCGGTTGCCAGAGACTTTTTGAGCCGAAGGGGATGCCAAAGGCGAGGCAGCAGTCATGGCCCAAAAGGTGAAAAGCTTGACCTAAAACACAACCAACTGGAATGCTTTGAAAAGGACTGTCAAGGTACAAAATCCCACCGCAAGACATCGCAAAACCCCTGCAAACAAGCCCAATGCCTCTGGGTGCGCCTGAGCTGGAGTTAAGCCTGATGTCACTTGGACCCGTGACGAACAAATCGATGTTTGGCCTATCCCTGGTCTTAGCCAACCCCCGAACTCCCCCCCTGCCCAAACGAAGAAGCTGCTTGGGTGGTTCTCGGACGTGAGCGGGATCGAGGGAGTAAGCCGTTTTGCACAAGCTCCCCGGAGGTTCGAGGGGCTGGGCTGGTGAAACTCCAAAAAGTGGCCCATGTGCAAGGGGGTGTTTGCTATTGTTCTTGCCAAAGGCAACTCAGGCAAATGCAACAAAACGTCTGCCTGTGTGCGTGTGTGTGTGAGTTCTTTTTTTTTCCGGGAAGGAGTATGCTACCCCTTTTTGATGAGTTGCTTACAACCCCCCTTAATGTCAACCTATGATTAAAAAACCTCCCCCGATTAAAGTTATGTTGTGGGCCGGCACTGATTAACAAACCCCCCCGAAATCAAGTTATGTTGATTTTTGTGGTTTTTTTGGCGGGGAATCCACACACACTCACAAAAACACACCAAACAACCAACACACACTTAAACTCCAGATGGAGAGTGCTAATCTTTCGAGTACAACTGATGAGTCTCGAGTACAACCGATGAGTCTCGAGTGGGTGGGTTCGGCTCGCACTGCACTTGGTTTCACTCTAGTCGAAAACGTTACCAGTTCCAACATGAAGCACACACAGCGCCGCAACCAAGGGGCCAAATAGACTTTCAGAATCACGCAAATGTTGCAGGTACACACGGGTGATCAATCCGTGCATCCACCATCAAGCATAGCTTCGTTGGCCAGCGTTTGCTTGATGGCCGCTGGCCCCCTGCTGAGAAACCGAAAGGGTGGTGACAGGGCATTCTGTCACTCCGCACACACACGCCCCTCAATGAGGGGCGAAGAGTCTCCTTTTCCGCAGGAAGATCACATGCTCAACCCCGTGTCTCTATCGTTGACCAAAAAATCCACCGCGGCGAGGGGAACGAGAAACAGCCCTAAACCGCTCAGAAGACGGGAACGAGAGATCACCACGTTGAGCCTGACGAGTGCCGCCATAGAGTACTGAAGCGAGTTGTGAAACAGTCGAGCGATCACCATGAGAAAACGGAGTAGCATAGGTGAACGTCTCCTCAACTGGAATGGCATCGGAATTCCGAACTTCACCAAGAGATTGATCATGTGAATGATGAGTTGTGAAGGACTCCATTCGAGACAGAATGCGCTGGTATCCCTGATGCTGCCAGTCGCGGATGGTCCATGCCTGACCGTGCTCACCAGTGCGCCTATTGGGATCAGTCACCCGCTGCCATTCCCGAAAAGAATTGTCTGGTAGATCAGGTACAGTTTCTCCGTGGTGCCATCGCTGAGGCTGTCCTGCAGTGTAGATCCGCACCCACTCCTGATCCTGCCAGACCGAGTATTCGAGCCATGGGTGCTGCTTCGAATCGTCGATGTCCATGCCGAAGTAAGTGGCAAGGCGTATCGCGGGCTCAGATCCAGCTGATAGAGGAACAGGCACCATGCACAACCATGTACAAGCAACAACCAAGAAAGGTAATGCAAGTGTGAAAACCACCCTTATTTTGTACGCTACCCCACTCGCGTGCGTCTAGTCCTCATTTAGCTCGAAGATAGGTCTCGCCTTGGCTTTGCAGCTGTCGGAAGGATTAACAGGCCGGTATGGTTCGGAGACCCCAACCGTCTCCGATGGTGTGATTCCACGTGATGCACGAACAGGTTGATGAAGTTGGGAAGCGTGACGTGCGCGAGCTGTCAGTTGTTGAGAAATCCCCTCTTGGAGACGAGTCAGTTCTTCGGTAGAGAAATCCGCCGCATCCGAGGATCTAAGGATCGCTTCTAACATCTGCGGTGACATACTCAATGCCGCGGATTGCGTGGCCACGCTGTGATGATCAGGAAAAGACATAGAATCAAAGTCATGACCAGCTTGAGGGGCAGCGACTCTCCGATAGCCCTCTGTGGCCCAGTCTCTTTTGTACCACATGGTGACATTGAGCTGCTCACCGTCTTGGTCCGGGTTGGGAGCATAGAACTCCTTCCACTCTCTATACGTGTGCGGTGGAGGTGGAGCATCATGTTCTTCATGTGGAGTCCATGATCCCGGATGAAAAATCTCTTGACCCACTGAGCATCTGGTTGTTGAGGATCCGGACACCATTCCAGCCACGGCATGACAACGCAAACCCGGAAAGACAAATTGATAGGTGTACGGCTGCAGACAACAATTACTGCAAGAGACACAACAACAACCACGCAAGCAATCACTTTTGCAGCAATGCACGGCTCAGGTGTTGAAGTCCATCTCCTGAATCGAATTGAATTGAATAGACTCCCCAGGAAGACGAGGACGAGCATCAGCCACCATCTGAGTTTGAAGATGCCGACGAAGAGGTCAGTCCAGCGTACATGAGGTCCGGTGAGCCCGAAGCGAAAACTGGACGCGCAATGCTAGGGTGTGGACGACCCAGCCGTTGATATCCTCTGGTGGCCCAGTCCCGATAATGCCAAGTATAGAAGGTGTTCCCGGCGACTGGATGCCACGGACCCGGTACATAGATCCGAATCCACTCAACGCTTGTGTTCGCGGGGCCATTGACGATGTCGTAGTCAAAGTAGTGTGGCAGGGCCCATCTTGCAGCGCCATACATGGTAGAATTGAACATATCAGCCAGGCAAGCCGCTCGAAGTCATAAAGGAAAGCGGCGAACACATGGAGACGGAACGCACAACACCAAGCAAGACAACCCAACATGGAATCGCATACAAAGCAAGCACAACCGCGTCATTTTATCCGACATGTTGCTCAAGTATCACTCCGAATCGTTCCAAGGATCATAGAATGGTGGTGGTGACGGCTCTCGCCACGCCCCATCCGGAACCGATGAGCCCACCGAGGAATTGGCGTCTGCGTTCACGAGCATCGCGAGTCCAATGGCTGGTAAAGGAGCTCCAAGTCGTTGATACCCTCGTGTTTGCCAGTCTCGGTACTCCCACACGTGGTAGGACACATACGAACTGGGCGTGACAATGGGATCCGTTGTTGTTCCTCCGGTGCTGTCTTCGGACCAGTACACTTGGAAGCGATATGACCTGCGCCACTCCCGATACGTGGAAGCGTAGACCGGGTCGAGCACTGGAGCATCATCGGGAACGGGTCGCCACGTGCCCGGTGAGTAAATTCGAATCCATTCCACTCCTCTGTCGATCTGGTACTCGAAATATTGAGGGTTCATAGCGGCAAGACAGGCTCTCGCGCGGCCGCTAAAAGCAATCGAAAATCTGCGGTGAAGACACACATGCAATGACAACCGCGCGCAGCTGAAGGGATGCAAGGCAACTTTTCAAACTCAAGGTGAGACACAGCAGCGAGGTTTGTAATATACGACGCCTAAGCTTCACCGCCGTTGATGCCGCGCACACCTGCAATGATAATGTCCTGGTCGTCTACGATCACAAGGGGAAAGACATTTCCGCCCATGGCGCAGGAAGGCATGACAGTAATGCTTGCAATTTGCCGATGGGGACAGCGATGGACGGCCAGCACGTTTGGAGGGAAACACGGTAAAGGGCCGCCGAGATCTCCGCGGTGCCGAAGCGGATGCTGTCCGAGATCGTTTGGATGAACGCCCTGGACTGCGTAGCTCTTCATCACGGGAATTGTCAGTGCTGTAGATCGAGCGGCGTGTGCGCTGCGATTTCGATGTGGCAGGGCAGGATTGTCCGCGAGGAGCTGAGATCGAGGGGCTCCGTACTGAGGGCATAAACTGTGGGTGTAGAATCACCGGTGGTGGTGGCGGTGGAGGAGGCGGAGGTGGAAGAAGCAGTGGGAAACTTGGTGGGGCCGGAGGTGACGTAGTCTGCCGAATGGGTCTGTCAAGCAGGGCTCCAGGTCCGTGAAATTGTAACCACGTCGGCTGCGCTCCATGGGTCCAAGTAATGTACGTCTGTACGACTTGTTCCGACATGATTTGAGCAACTCAGTCATGCATTCAATTCACGTCAGCAGCAACACCCACAACGGCAAGCAATATTACCCTGGTAAAATGCCAGTCAAGTGCAAGCAAGCAAATTTCATGTGATCAATAATGACTACAATCCCAACCGTCGCAACAACCTGCAGCGCTAGCCGAATACGCCGCCACGGCCTACCATTTAGTCCTCCGGTGGTCGCTGTTGCATTTGATGACCGGGTTCCTAGCCGCGAGCCTCAAGTTGCTGATAGACCTTCCATGCCTGCTTGACTTCCTCAATGGGCTTCTGAAGGAACCGAGCAATGGTTTTGTAGGTGGGCCTGGAATCCTTGTCTTTCTTCCGTCGCACCATCTCATCCAGCTCACCCTGTGTCCATGCCGTGAAAGGTTCACGGTGTGCATTGCGAAGTGCAATGGTGAATTCTTGTAGAAGTTCCCGAGGTCCATGAACCACCGTAGGAGACGGTCGGAACGACGAGGCACCTGGATGTGGACGCACTGAGCCATCAGAATCCGAGTCAGGTGTCGTAGGCGTCATCTGTCCTGGTTCTCGTCCGCCGTGTGGGGCTAAGGGAGCAAGCGGCCGAGGTGGTGGCAGGTGATCCAACATCGATTCAGGCCGACGACCAGAATTGTTGTCAGCGGCATCCCGATGTGCCGCACGAGGCGGGGATAAGGCCGGTATATACCAGGTGGATGAAGTGTCCAAAGGTCGGGTTCGAATTCGAGTGGGAGAGCGCTCTGTGATGATGCGAGGGCGCAGCCCATGTCTGGAGTTCCGTGGTGCCCTGGGAGACACTCTAGTGTCTGACGGATGGCTTCGCTCGGTCATCAGGGCAAAGTT